GACTTTAAGAAAATTGTATTCTTGCCAAAGAACAAAGCAATCGCCCGAACTAGCGTGTGATTATAACACACAACCAGAACAACAACCACAATAAGAACAGCGAAAAAAAAGAGTTATACAAAAGAGGCAATTGTATTCAAGCGATTGAGATGCATTGTATATTTCACGAGTGCACCGAAGGGAAATGAAATAAAACAGAGCATGAGCAAAATATGCAATTCTTTTTTGCGCGCGCACACACACACACACTCACCACGTCTGAACGTTAGTGAAATGATCACGCGATGACGATAGAATACCATTTTTCATCCGAAAACATTTGCAAAATACAAACGTTCTATCTCCAACTCTCTCTCCCTGTGATAATTTATTTATTATTATCATTTTTTTGCATAATATGAACATCGCGAAAAAATATGAAATCCGGCATATAAAAAAATATGGTAAAATTCAGATCCATAGATTAAATAACAATTAAAACAGAACGTAAACTTCATTCTCTACTGAGTAAGTGACGTTTTAATAGAAATTTACATGTAACAAACAAATAAAAAAAACGTAATGTTGTGCATGCAATAGCAAAATTCACTCGTCATTCGATGTATAACTGTACTGATTTTTAAGCTTCATTTTACAGTCAATTTGCACACATGGGAATTTATGAACGAAAAGAAAAAATATTGTAAATCGACCGAAAACGGCTGAATCATTTCCATTAACACGATACATTTGAGTAGAGTGCATTTCTTCAAACGGTTCCATTATCAAGGACCATTCCATGTGGTACCGTTTGTCGCATCTCTTCATATTGCATTTCAAGTTTTGTTAATGGCCATGAAACTAAACTGTTAATGTTTCACTATGTCAATAAATCCATCAAAATACGTCATAAACCAAAACGCATTCACTCACGGATATTGATTAGGTGCCCCAAAGCGCATTTCAGCCACTCAATCTGTAGAATTCTGTTAAATGTACACAACAGTACACAGCGAATTTTATCGAAGCCCGTTTTGTGAGGCGATCAAAATAAAAAATAAAATAATCAACACGAATGCGCGCTTATTCACGAAAACAAGTGCTTTTCACGAAAGCATTTGTAATGTATAGCATCAAATTGGTTGTAAAGTTGTAATCATGTCTAAAAGATCCGCTTCAGAAAATTGCACGCGAATTAAAATGAGAAGATATGAGAGAGAGAGAGAGAGAGAGGGACAAAAGTAAACCTTTAAAATGCTTTCAAAAACGAAATTAATTAAGATATATATTTAAAATGTTCCCGTTCAGTCCATGCGTGCATTTCACATCCACATTTTGTTCATGTGCGCCTTTCTTTTTTTCTTTCAATTCCTCTCCGGTTGAGATTCGATGATTCTTTTATTTTAAACAAATAACACGGAAGAAATCGGATGGGTTCTTTTAATTTTGCGTTTGTGGTCTCTTCCATTTAAATTAATTTTTATAGTTTTATTTATTATCGCCTCATTACTGTGGTCGGCTCGTGAGGCAATTTCCTTTCACGTTTAACAATATCCACTGAAAAATGGCCAGCCGAAACAATGATAAAAAGAAGAGAGAAAAAATGAGTTATCAACGAAGTAAAACGGCAAACAATTTGGTGGCCTGGAAGGTGATTTTATACCATTATAAATGGTATCATGTGAAAGAATTCTGCTCGAATTTTCCATACCAGGTTTTTTTCTATCATTTATTTTAATTAGGTGTGAAATACGCACGAGAGAACTTTCCGAATGAAATGCTTTACCAAGATGCAATTAAAAATCACGTTTTGAATCTATTTTAGAGAAATTATCATAAAATGTTTCCATTTATGAAAAACTGTAGAGAAAAAAAATCTCTTTACAACGATTCCGTGAATTTCGTGGAATTTATTCATGGTATGAATCTCAGACAAGCAAGTGTGAAATTTGAAGTTCATTGGGCTAGTTAGTGTTAATTTGCTTTCATTTAGATGAGTAATAAAAATTCCGAATTTCGTTGGCCGAACCAATTGAGCTAGTTTTAATTTGTTTGATTTAATTTGACCAGCGACGAAATGATGGTAAGCGTTGAAGCTTGGCGTTTTGCTATTATTAGACATGCAAAAATGACCAATATTACAAGCCAATATATGATAATGATGATGATGCTAAATAGTGTGTTCCAGTGTGGTTGAGCATCGTACAACGGAAACTGATTAGCATAAAAATTCTCCTGATCTAAATACATGCGACTTTGTCGACACGCACAAACTAGCAAACCGAATGATATTTACATTGCGATGGCGAAAAAAAGCCTATTTAAATTCATATGAATACATAAGAAACAAGAACTCAATGAAATTCACATCGTGAAAAATAGAATAATATCGTTTTTTTCTTCAGTTCATAAAATATAACTGAATTGTTGGCCTTTGTTTGCGGCGAATTTTTTTTTTCTTCTCTGTTCATGTTTTTGCGTTGTATATTGAATGACTTTATAGATCTTGTGAACAAATTAGCGACAAAAAGAGTCATTATCAATGCGTTCACATCGATCCGTTAATTCGAGCGTCGAAAATCAGTTAGAATCGATTGTCGAGCCACTCAATTATGCCAGTCGCTGCTGAAATGCGAAACAACATATCTAGTTAATTAGTTATTGCTTTGGGAGAACGTCAGTTTTTCGCCAGAACCAGCGAAAAAAAACAACAACAACAACCGGCCAATACGTAAAATGGTGCAATAAAGCACGTTAGAGTAATTTCTTGGGAAAATTGATGGGGTTCGGCTCGTGATCAACCTATGAATAACCACGACTAACCAAAAACGATCATCGTCCCATAAACGAATATGTTTTAGCAAACACGTTCAAATCAATTTTCAACTCTATAATCGCATGCCGTTTTTCTCTTCATAGATTTCTTTTCACGATGCACGCACATTGCACATCCATCAGACGTAAACCACACGAAAAACAACAAGCCTGAAACTATTAAGTTTCAGAGAAAAAGATCAGAGAGAGAGAGAGAGAGAGAGAGAAGGAGAGGTAGAACAGAATCTTTTGCCCATATCTATGCGTCGAATAGAAAATTGAACAGAATGGCAAACGATGCAAAAACGTAATGTTACAAACAGGTATTCCATTCCGTTCGGTGATGTGTACATGTTTTATTTATTTATTACTGGCATGAAACCAAACAAAACAAACGGAGAAAAAGCAGCAAAAAAAAACGACGACAACAACAAAGTAGTCGCGTAAGGAGCTGTTGTTCTTTACGTATTTTATTGTGCATCAACGATAGCTGCAAACAGCAAAGACTCGTTGTCAATCGGCCATTTCTTTGCTTCAACTCTCATCGTAACAACAATCGAATCTTGTCTCTTTTTCCAACATTCTGTCAAGCAGGCAATGCCATTTTTTTTCTTCGTTATTTCACATTAACCATTATATTACATTATTTTTATTATGTTGCCATCAATAAACATTACATTTTTTACTTGCTTTCTTGCCATTTCCATCTCTATCTTTCGCACATAGTTTCTGCATCATTTTTTCGCCGCTCATATTATTGTGATGTTAAACAAATACTGAAAGAAGAATATAATTCAGTGTCTGTGTCTCTCTCTCTCGTTCTTTTCTTTTTCTGCAACAAACCAAACGAAGAAAATGCACAAACATTCATATTAATTAAATTCCGTTAAAGGCAATTACGACGATTGCATAAGTAAGATTTGCGTTTGTGCTTTTTTTCCCGGTGTTGATGCTCTGTGCATCGCTACGCTGCTGCATTTATACATCGTCGTCAATCCAGTATTGCATTTTTATGGCAATTCTACAACTCCATATGGAAGAAACTGTAAATGATGCATTGATTTTTCACCATTGTCATTTTGTCGTTGGTTTTTGCGCAATTTGGTGAAATGCTCCTAGGCAAAAACCAAAACAAATTTATCAGAACGTTTTTCACACATTAAGAGCACGTTATATTAGAAAAACGAAACGTGTTGATAACACACAGCACAAATGAATGGTTTTTGGTGGTCTTCTGTACGCAGTGCGAAAAAAAGCAATTTCTTCTAATTTAATTTAATTTTCATGTGGTTCATGTTTGTTTTTTTCCAAGCACACGCAAAGCAAACAGTTTTATTTTATTCTTTCATCATCAATAAAATTGATACATTACATTTGCTATTCATGTTTTTATCATTATTCAATGTTCCGTGCAAAATTATGTGCGAAAGGAAGAAAAATGAGCGATAGAGAATTCGTGGCAAACGGTTCTTTACCGTTTTATTTACTAATCAAATATAAATTACCGCTGATATTAATTGAACTGGAATTGCTATATTTGATCATGTGTGCAAGTGCATTTTCAACGCTTCCAACTGGACAGACGGCTTGTGTTGTTGTGCGCGCACCAAGCTTATTTTAAAATTCTAAGTAGCTTATAAATTATTATTTTATAATGAAAGTACATTTGAAAAAAAACACACACGCTCACATATGCCGCGATTCTTATCATAATTCTAATAATTTACCGTGAAAAAACTCGATTAGGTGTATATTGAATGAAATGAGCGATAGAGAAAGGGAGAGAGAGAGAGAGAGAGAAAGAGAAAAATTGTTATGAGAAAATAAATTGCAAACATGTTCAACCAATCAAATTATTCGATGCAATATTCATCAAAAACATCATTCGATCGTCTCGCATTGCATTTGAAGCCAATTTGTTCCGCAGCTTGTACGTGGATACAGCGCATTTTAAAAATAAAAATTCACCACAACTCGATTTTCTTGCGTCATTAGATCGAAACGATGTTTTTCATCTTCGTTTTTTATCGATTTTTTGTTTTGTTTTTGCATTCTTGTTGCAGCAACAAATTGCATAATAATCCCATAAAAAATCCATAGTGATAAATTCTATCCGCTAACGCAATTTGCAATTGTGCAAATGTGGGACAAATAAGATAAAATTACAGTGGTCACATTAAAGATCAGAGGGTAATTTTTTCGTTGACCTATTTTCCCAAATGCTGCAACAGTGTAAAATAAGAGAACGATGCTTTCATAATCTGCAAAATGAAACCGGATTTTTGGTTGAATATATGATAAATTATCGAATAAATTGCGTGCGCCGGCTTACACTTGTAAATTTCGAAAAGCCAAGAATGAAAAATTTCCCACCCGTCATGACCAGTGGTTGATTGCAATTCGCAAGGATAATCGATGCGATTCGACGAAACGGGCCACCACACAGGTACCATTCGCACCGAAGCAATGCATCACCGATATGCGATGATTGTTGTTTTAATGTTTCACCAAAATAGCACAATTGAAATACATCTAACAATGTCAATATCAAATATGCTGTCATATTGAAATATTGTTTGGCCGTTCCTTCAATCTTAAATCATAAATGTTCACACCTTTAGACATTTTATATCATCGGATACATTTCGAAACTCACCTTTATAAATGTAAATAATAAATTGCAGATTTGAAATGTACTCTGAAATGATTTGAGCAGCACAAATAGACTGAAAAAATCTTCCATCATTGCAACGAACTCAATGAGCATTTGATGATGTTTGATGCAAGCAAAAATTGCATGATTTAACTCTTCCGACAAATCGGTTAAGTAATTGTCTTGCGGTAGGTATTGCTTTGATGGATGGAATTTTCTTGGATCTCGTTCTAGAATGGTTCGCATTTTTGCCGTGTTCGATTCAACGTCATCCATTAGCTCCGCCGCTAGATAGTATTGATTGAGCTCTTCACGTTCAAATGCAACCGTTGACTGTAGTTTTCTATACAAAGAGAAAAATGTTTTCACCGAGAGAAAATTGGCTTGAGTCTACTATTGTCTAACCGAAGTTCGTCCAATCGGAATCCATTGAATGTGATTGCAGTGGCTCGTAGGTTTTTCAAACTGCACAACAATATGTCAAATTGACCGCTAAGTATAATAACCGTACTCGCAAGTACACTTGATGCATTTCCAAAAATCATTCCCAACAAAAACTGGCACATGCTATGCAGAGAATAGATGATTTGATAATATGGAGTTAACTGCAAATAAATTGATTTATTCTAACTTTTTTTTTTGTGTCAAAAAGAAATGCCATAAGCACCATACCAACTCATTTACGGGATATTTCACGTCGATCGGTAGTGTGCGGGTACTTGCGAATAATGGAGCAACAGTCCATTGCATTGTACCTTGCAAACACATCACTGTCCACCAAAATACATAACGATTCGCCACTATGTAACTACGTTCGGCCGTCATGAAGGACAATCCATAGGCCGAACGCCGCAAAAATGTCGTATTCATGTAATTTATCATTCGCAAATATTTTTTATAGTTTATTTTATAATAGAGCAATGTAAAAAATGCAAATACATTTATGATAACCATTGTGATGGCATTGGTTATAACCTACAATATATAGAGGTGAAACTCTTGGTGTTACAAAATAGAAAAATACAAATCAAAGTCAAGATTACCTCCAAAGCACTGCTCTGTATCATTTCGAAGAAAAACAACAACGCCAGATGTAAATGAACAAATGAAAAGAAACCAAATATCGTCCAATTCAAAATGACCGACACAAATGCCAATTGTAGTGGCAAAACATCCTCGAAATTAATATAACACATTCCAACCACTTTCAATAAAATCGTTTGGTATCGCATTAAATCCGCCACATAAAATTCGGGGTTCCAAGTTTTTGGATCATTTATCGTGAATGATAATCGAATCTTCATTTTTGCACATTAATTAACACTGTCAAGGCCGAACCTTTATCGAATTTTTAAAAATATGATCAAAAATGGCCAGAAAGAAACGAGAAAACTAAAGACGGTTACACTTGAAACAGAAGACTTTATAATTGCCCCTTTTAATTAAAAATCTCCTTTTATATCCATTGAAAATCACGTGACCATTGATAAAGTAATTGCGTGAACATTTCAAAACTTTTAAATAAAGTGAAAACTTCTGAGACACTTCGAAAACAATATCGATGGGACAGTTAATGAATCAATTTACAGTTGAAAAATTGAAAATCAGACAAACAATATGTATAATTATCGTAAAAACTTGTTTTCAATCAATTTCAAAAACTCTTCTGGAACGAAAAGATATTCAGGTCCTTCCATTTAAAATAAGTTTTAAGTAAAGATATTGATTTGTCTGCGATATTTTCATAATAAATCTTCTGCACGACAACCCGTTGTGTTATTGGCATTTTTGTGTAAATATGGTTCAAAAAACCCCGATGGAAAAAGCCTTAAAATGCTTCGAAATGTGAATGTATTTCTTTGTCTTTTATCTGCTTTTCAAGAATCAGAATTGGTCATATCAATACAACAAATATTACGATAGATTAGCAGACAACAAAATCAACTAAAACAGAATGGAAATGTAAAAAAAACCTGATTCGTTCCCATCGTTTAAAACTGTTTTATGTGTGATATGAACGAATCAACCAGCGCTGGCACATACAAGACTTGCTTGAGCTATTCCACAAATTGACCACTTTCGAAAATGCGATGTCTTCTTTTCATCATTTTTATGTTACACATTAATTTTCATGATTCTCAGAATGCAAACACAATAAATCATCGACAATAAAAGAACTTCTCTTCGGCTTGAGTAAACAACAAAAATATAAAGATGACAAAGCGGATTAAATGTCATCTAGTCAAAGGGTAAGATTGCCGCAGGATTTGTGACTTTAGGGGACCACCAAGGTTATTTTTGGATTTGTGCGTTCCAACACGGACCATGTGTTGAACAAACATTAGCGATACCACGCGCGTTACATATTTGAAGATTTCTCTGGGTGTAATAGGCACGCACGGTGGGCGCTGGTGAAGCACTTTTTGTATGGAAATATTTGTTGAAAATTCAACAATACGCCACCTATTAAAGACAATAAAGATTTTCGTTACTACTGCTGTCTTGACACAGCTCTAGCGAACTATATAGCTATATTGCAAACGTATTAGTACTGACACCGATTCTGTGTATGCGTGTGTGTTGTAAATTTTGCACAAGCAGCTACGGTTGACGACTGAGTGCAGAATTTGCAATACAAACGGACACACAAAATCAGAGTCAGTGTGTTCTTTAGTAATAAAAATCTTTATGTATTTTAATAGATGTCGTATTCGTTGAATCTTCAACAAAAAATCTTCGATACCAGCGCCCACCGGGCACGCACCTTCACATTTTCGCAATGGAATCGATTTGCCATACAAAAAAAATGTTGCGAATAATTTGATAAAAATGTAAATGATCGTTAAAACAAAACCCCAGAAGAAAATCACCTACAAAAAAATGAAAGCACATGTGTGTGTGTGATACCAAAAATCAAGACCTAATAATCATGCGAACGAACGATTTCGTATTAATATTCATGTTATGCAATTTGGCCAAATGGTAATGATTGTTGTGTGGTTTTGAATTTGGTGTGTGTATTTCCGAGTGTGGCACATATGCTGTCCAGCACCTTGATGAAGTTGTCGATATGATTCGGCTGCTTAAAACACAATATGCTTGAGAATGAAACAGTGGCGCGTGTTAGGAAGCTAGAGTTTAATAAAAAAAAATTCGGCAACGATATGTAATATAATTTAAGCAGTAGCAACAGGTTATATCGTGTGAATGTTCCATGAGTTGTATGAACTTTCTGGTTATTATGAATTTTTTTGTGTGTGTTTATTCTTTGTGCAAGCAAGCATGTCATTAAAAATAAAGGAAAAAAAGAGCTACAACAAAACGGTTGCTCGTCTACCATATTTGAAAATGAGCAATTTGCATACAATCAGAGGAAAACTAAAAAACATTGAACACTTTTTTTCGGCAACCGAAAAAACCGGCGAATTACATTAAAGCGCAAGCACAGCCGTACTATTAGCGCCTTGAAAAATAATATGGCATGAAATCATTCATAATCACATTCTGTATGCGCAAAAAAGCACAAACACACACACACAGACACGCATACGCATATAATTTTGGGCCTCACCTTTATTCGGTCATCAAAAGAAATCTCAAGAATTCAAGCAGTCTGACGACGACGACCGAAAAAAGTCGACGACGAAATAAAATCGAAATTACCGAAAAACAAAATTACCACTTAAATTAGGAAATGTGCATGCTCATTTCTAACTGCAGAAAAAAAAGAGCGAAGCGTAAAAAATCGTTGCAGCGGAAAGAAAGCATATGTGTACCAAACAATTAAATGGTTTGAATTACTTGAGCCACTTGTCGTGAAAATTCTTTCTTCCATTTGTTACTTGTTTGCAATAATGTAATAATATTTCCAATTTATTACGTCAACGCAACAAAGAGCGAGAAAACATTTAGATTGCGTACAAAAACGAAATGAAAAAATAATTGACTTGATTCGTTCGCTTTGAGCAGATTTTTGTAGTGCTTCGCTTTGGACTAAAAAGATACAAAAAAGCAGATGTACAGCGATAAACGAACCAATCCAACTGCAACTATTTCATGTACAAAACGGAAATGCATTTTACCAATTGTAATTATCATTAATGATAAAAAGAACAATTTCGCAGAAATCGCAGTTTTCATAGCCATTGTGGAATGTACGTTGGTTTCGCATGAATATTCTCGCTTAGAGTGAATTTTCGAACATTTGCCAAAACCGAACGGCACACCAACCAAAATGGGGAAGAGCGAGCGAATGCATTTTATTTCAAACTGAAAGCGGGATTGTTCCTCTTTTTTTCACTAAAAATTCTGAGATCGAAACGACAAAACAACTATGAATCCAGAATCATTTCTGTTTATTAATAGCATTTTTAAGACGTAAAAATAGTTTTAACTAGCTAATATAAAAAGACCAGGCTATAACTTGAGCTTGATGAGAGTCTATTGCGCTTTGTTAAATAAAACTGATATTAATGGGAGAAGAGAGAAAAAAAAAAATGGAATGAGGGTTTTATTATGTGACGAATTTTTCGCGATGTAATAATGATTTGCAATACCAGTTTTACAAAATGCTCTCATCGTATACGTAGGGAAAAAATGAAGGAAACAACAACTCACAACCAACATCAAATCACTGGGCTAAGTTTGATATGCAAATTTGAATTGGCTGTTTAAAAAAACTGGAAAAATAGGATTTGCATTTATAATTGAAACACTTTTTAGTGTGCAATGTGCACACAAACACACACACACTCATGACAAAACACGACAATTACATTGTAATTGAGGTTCAAGACTCCATAAATTTGTGCCGCAATTAAAAGATAAGACCTAACGGTACAATTTAAACTGAACAGAATCGACAATTAAATTGCGTCGCCCTACGTGTCATAAAACACATTTCACATTTTTTTATATACGCGTGTGCAATCATTGTGTCTTTGTATTTGGACAGAAAATTGAGCCGTAAAGTAAAATCTTATAAGGCCAATGGCAATCGAGTATAAAATACGACAGAATTTACCATGAGCATTTCCGACGATTTCCGAAGAATTAATTGATTGAAGATTGCATAACAAATTCAATATGACTTTGAAATAGCAAATATTATATCATTTTTTTACAAATAGTCATTTACTTTTTTCATAAATATGCGATGGACGCGATTATGTTTGTTCGCCAAGCGAAAATTCCGATTGCCGGCTAACGAAACCAAAATCGGTGTGGCGATGAGAAAAAAGCAAAATCACTTTTTTCCATCGCATTCGCAACGAAAAAAAGAAGAGTATTAGATTCGCATACCAAAACTCAATGGGCAGGCAAACAAAAGCAAAATTAAATATCGAAATGGCAAACGAGCATCGGTGTGAAAAAAAAACACGCGTAGATCAAAGTCGCGATTGAATGGATGGAGTACACAAAAGAGGAAAAAAAGTCGTATATTGTTGTTAGTGTGCAAAAGATGTTCAATCAGTTACACTGAAAAAAAAATCTGAGTTTCCGATGTTAAATAATAAGGAAAATTAGTTCTGTGTATTTTCGGCGTTTTTTGCTGTTGCTGGTTTGCGCTGTGCGGCCTGTACTTTGTCAAGCTTCTAATTCGTTTTCTTTCGTACATTTTTTTGTGTACGTTGCTTTTGTTGCCTTTTTGCACTGCTTCTTAAAGTAGTAAAAGCTGCAAATTACAAGAAGTTGTGTGCGATTTCGTTTGTTGTTATATATTTTTTTCGAACGTGCGCTTGAAAACTTTAATTATTTCGTCGTGTTTTTTTTTTGCTCAATCGTACTGTCGTTGTACGTTGATTGTTAGTTACGCCGAATCATGGTTAGAAGGTTCATTAACATTTTTTAGCAATGGCCATGAAAACAAACTATCGCATAATATACACGCG